AATTCCTAAACCTGACCTAAGTACATCCTAAAGTGACGGGCTTTTCTAATCATCAAATTTTAAAAGACTTCAGTTTTTCCAAACAACTTAATTTTATCAAAAATTAGTGTTTTTCAGAATTTCTATACTTCTGTATTCCTTTAACTGGTTTGATAAATTTTGAAAAACCACAGTTTGATCAATGTTGATAAACCACAGGTTGATTAAATTTATCTCGTATGATTTTCCGCCATATCGATTCGGAACATTGTACGAAGCATTTTCCATTATATCATAAGAAAAACAAATTCTACCACCGAATCCGTTTACTACAATATTTATCCAATTAATTAATTATTAACTTCATTTAAGTATCTATTGAGAAAAAAACACTATACAATTATATGTTTTTCCATATTGTTTTTGTAGGATTTGTGAATAGTTCTCACTTTAAATTATGTTTAACCTAATTCTTGATAGACAGCAAATTTTAAACATAATTTTAAGGATTATTTCCAAACACTAAAGACAACATTAATATTAGAAATGGATTTATTTTTTCTCAGTTCATTTTTTCCCTCAGTTTCATAAATAGTTAAGAGGTGGGTATCTTTCAGAAAATGGATTGGAGCTTCAGTCATGGAATAATATCAAAATGGACATGTTATACCATAGGTAAGCTCCGCCTACTTTCCTCTTAGATTCTAGTTAATAAACCATGGTATTCCATTAACACACCTTTTAAGCAGATTATTTCTTTAAAACATCAAAAGAAAAATGCAATTTATATTACAAAACGAATTAAAACAATCTGTGTTAACTGATTTAAATCGTTATGACGAATTACAAATATCTGTTATAAATTATTCTATATATTCGTTATCTTATATATGATGATATTCGTGATTATGATTTTAATCCGTGATTAAGATTTTTTTTAATTCGTGATTTCGATTTTGATTATATTTTTGGAGGTCCAAATGGGCTTCCGTAGCAAGCAATTAGGACGTTTAGATTTTCAAAAACACAAAGATCAACATGTAGATTTCAAGAGCAAAATTGGAAACGGATGTTTACGTTTTAGCATACAAAATCGATATCTATATAACTCAATCTAGTTTTAATTATTTACATTAAAAAAATTATTAGACCAGTGGTAAAACTCGCCAGTCAATAATGTCCTATACCGGACTATATTTCACGTATTAATCGTTAAATTTATATCAATGAATAGAGAACTGTTCAAATACTTAACAAGCAATACTTTTCTTCCTTCACATTAATCTGGATCAATGTTTCCCACTTTTGAGAAGATTTGTGAAACATTCAAGTCGCTAGCTACCAATAGTTCATTGCATAGACATAATTGTATTCTACGTGAAGTTGTCAGTGCGACAATATATGACAGAAGTGCGATGACCTTTTTAACAAAACTCCTTGTCTTTGTTGTCTTATTGTGTATCACGGGATTACTTCATGGACAAAATTTATCGGACGTTTATAAACTTCGCAATGACATACTGTCCACTTATGATAAGGATGTAGTACCAGCAACTGACCAGTCACAACCATTAACCATCGAAACTCGTTTTTTTCTTGTCAACATTGCAATGTTTGAGGAAATATCGGAGACTATCAGTATAATTGCGGCTATAGAACTGAAATGGACAGACGGAGGAATATCCTGGCAACCTGGTGATTATGGAAACAAAAGGCGTTTGACTATAAAACAAGGGAACATCTGGACACCACCAATTATGCTACTTAACAGCATCGACGAACTAAGACCTTTTGAAGGGGAAAACGAATTTATGGCCACATTGCTATGGAATGGAACTGTGGCATGGGGACCAGGGGGTGTTTTAAATGCAAAATGTACCGTTGACATATCTAAATTTCCATTTGACTCTCAGACATGCGTATTACAGTTCGGAACATGGGGATTAGGTACCGAAGATGTTATCTTCGTAACTTCTCCTTATCAACAAACAGTAGACTTATCATTTTACACACCTAATGCAAATTGGAAGTTAGAATCGTATCGGGCTAATACCATAGCCGATTTTTCTATAGGATATAATGTTTTTGTAGTAGAATTGACAATAAAACGTGAACCATTATATTTCACATTGATGGTTGTCTGTCCTACTTTGCTTTTTGGTTTGTTGAATCCATTAGTGTATCTTCTACCAGTTGAATCAGGTGAACGAATTGGACTCTCAATGACGATACTTCTCTCTTATGCAATATTTTTGACACTCGTCTCCGCCGCGATTCCGTCATCGTCTAATCCAATGTGTGTCTTGTTGATAATGATGGTTGTAATAATAATTGTAAGTGGACTTATTGTGACATCCGTAATCATAATTTCAGCTTTGCATCATAGAGATGAATCAAGGGAGATAAATGCAGTTTGGAAATTTATAGTGACACGGTTGCCTTGGAAACGTAAAAATACAATTAAGCCACTGCAGACAACCAAAGACACATCCCGAGCTTTGCCAAACATACAAACAAAACCGAAATCAATCATTACACCACCCGATATCAGACCCTTATATGAAGAAAAAGAAAATGGCCCGAAAGAACCATGGACGGACCTAGCAGATCGACTATTTACAAAAGAGTCAACTGAGACGAAAACAACATCAACTGAAAAACAAATCCGTGAGAAAGTTTCTTGGCAAGACGTAGTGGAAGGCATGGATATTATATGTATGATAGTTTCCTATGTCACAATCATTTTAATTCTTTTTCTTTTCTTTGTTATTTTAACTACTTAGAAAAACATTTTAAGTAAAAGTTTTCACATTATTCTTAATTGTTTTACTTTGTTTATTGTGTGTATCTTCTTTTCAAAATGTTGCTCCTGAACAATCAGATTTTTCTAAAAAAAAATGATATGTTGTTGATACAGGTATTGCCGTTTTAACGGTGTAAAATAATAATATGGTCACCGACTTCTATTTTACGGTATGCATCATTCAAAGTGGTGTTCAATTTGAAAAAAACATATTAACATTATTTAGATATAGGGTGTAAGGAACAAAATCTGAAGTCTTTTTTAAGTGTTTTCAAATCCTAAAAACATGCAATAACCGACTTATTGCAATCAAGGGAGGATTGAGCGCTCACAAACATGTGCCAGTCACGAGTCGGAAGCCTGTATTTAGTGGATTTTTTTGGTTCATGTCTGTCATATTTATTTATCGTAAATTGGTTTTTTTAATTATGCCGTTAGTTTTCTCGTTTGAATTGTTTCACATATTTCATTTTTTGGCCTTTTATAGTCGACTATAGGCTTAATACACCAAAAACGAAGTCGGTGACCATATGTCTATTTTATTTCTCAAATTTTTTTTTAATCGATTCTCGCCGATTCTTTGTGCTTTAATACAAATATTAATCTGTTTTGAAGGCATTCTATCAGTAATGAAAAAAATGAAAGAAATAAATGCATTATTTTTTCGATTTTTCAGTTATTGTTCAACGAGCCAAATTTTTATGGAAAATTTTACCAAAATCTGTGACTTCCCATATACTATTCCTTGATATTCAAATAATTTGATGCATTATCTATGTTAGAATCAATAAACAAACAATAGCATGCATATGTATTTAAATAGTTTATGAACCGTCCAAATCGGTTGCGATTATTTTAGTTTCATAAATGTTTGGATTTCTAAATGTACTTTGTAATGTAACATTTCATCAGAATTTATCATGCCATAAACGACTTATTACAAAGAAAAGACGTTTGTACTTTTTTTAAGTTCAGGAATATCTTAGAAAGAGGTGTGGGATATATGTCAACAAACCAATTTGAAAGATATCAATAACCAGAGACATCTGGAAGTCATCATGCTGTCTTCAACAATAGACAGGTGTCTGTCTACAAGATATGTTAGGTTCTAAATCACATGTCACAAAATAACCTTGGAATATAACAAATGGCAACCACTAACAAAGTTCATGACTTGGTCTATCACAATTTTGTTTGAAATCTCAACCCTACCCCTTGTTTCACCTCCAGTTAGTGAACTAATAAAATAATATTTAATATATAATCGGAACAGAAAAATCACGAAAGCATGTCACTATCGAATTGAGACATAGAAATATCGTATAGGTCAGGAAATTTCTGATGGTGCATGATCGGAAAACTTATGTCAGCGTTGATTTCAGTTGTTCTTTGTATAATAATCATTATAATTATAAATTATCTGTTCACAAACTTTGAATATTTCAAAATTCTAAGGATTTTCTATCCCAGAAATAGATACTCTTAGCTATATTTGACAAAACCTTTCGGAATTTTGGGTCCTCAATGCTCTCCAACTTCGTACTTTATTTGGCCTTCTTAACTTTTTTGATTCGAGCGTCACTGATGAGTCTTTTGTAGACGAAACGTATGTCTGGCGTACAACATCTTAATCTTGCTATCAATGATGAGTTTATTTCTCATATTTTTGTCGGAACCGTTTTTGTGTTACAAACTGGGTAAAAATATCTGTATAATGCGAACATGCACGAGCATAGTGTATCAATTGGGATATGTAAATGCCATTCGATGGGACAGAAGGTATGTTACTGCTGCAAAATGGGAAGTTGATAATTAGAAAGCATAAATCATCAAGTATATAATGAAATAAATATTTGAAGCATCACATTAGCCTACATGACGAGACATTCAAGAACAAGGAAACATCAACAACAAAAACATAAGACTTAGTAAACACATCCTGAAACTCACAACACAGGAAAAACGTTTATATTACACTCTGATTTAAAATATATACATGTGTACAAAATGTTTACGTGCTACATATAACACAAAAAAGTACAAAAAATATATACTTAGTAAACACATCCTGAAACTCACAACACAGGAAAAACGTTTATATTACACTCTGATTTAAAAGATATACATGTGTACAAAATGTTTACGTGCTACATATAACACAAAAAATTACAAAAAATGCCGTCTGATTTGAGATCAAAACGAAGTCGAATCTAATTTATATAAGAGATTTTTAATAGATAGAATTGATTCATAATGATACGCTTACAATAGTAATTGTCGAGTAGGGTACACATTTGTCATGAAATAAAAGTTCCTTCCGAATGAAGTTCCAAGAGGAAAAATATCCTAATATATTATTGTCACAGGTAAAAATATTACAGTATTTATTCCTAGCGGAATAAAGGGTATAGAATAAAAAGGAAAGTTCGAATTTTTTTGGGGAACTTCAAGGTCATTTGAATAAAGAAAGTGTTTGCAAGATGAGTCTGGAAATCATATTGACGCCGATATTCTAGTGAAAAACACGTCTTCATATCGCTACAGTATACCAGGAATTAATAAAGCTGCGCCATAAGCGCATGATACGCCCGTCGTCTTGTGTGTGATTTTTTATGCAATAATCATAAATAGTTTCTGACATACGGCCTGACATGCGAACCCCCCCCCCCCCCTTTTTTTTTACAAAAAGCTCAATATCTCTAAAATAAAATTTTGAATCAAAACCAAAAAGTATACAGATCTTAAGTTTAATATAACTAAGAAGATGTGTAAAATTTTAAGCAATAATCATAAATCGTTTTTGAGATACGGCGCGACATGTGAAAACCCCCCTTTTTAAAAAAAAATCAATATCTCAAAAATAGAATTTTGAATCAAAACCAAAAAGTATACAGATCTTTAGATTAATATAACTAAGAAGTGTGTAAAATTTAAGCAATAATCATAAATTGTTTTTGAGATACGACGCGACATGTGAAAAAAACCCTCCCCCTTTTTGACAAAATACTCAATATCTCTAAAATAAAATTTTGAATCATCACCAAAAAGTATATACAGATCTTAAGATTAATATAACTAAGAAGTGTGTAAAGTTTTAAGCAATAATCATAAATTGTTTTTGAGATACGGCGCGACATGTGAAAAAAACACACACCTGTTTTAGTTACTAAGTCCCGTAACTCAAAAAGTTTTAATCTGATTTTCACCAAAAAGTATACAGATCGTTTGACTATCATAAGAAACAACTATGTTAAGTTTCATGAAATTTAGATAAGACGTTCCAAGTTACGGTGCGACATGTTTACGCCGGACGGACAGACGGACAGACGACATTTGTATACCATAATACGTCCCGTCAAAATTTTGACGGGCGTATGAAAATTAAGCATTATCTTAATGTACATGCAGAGTGATTTCAGATAAATGTGTGTTACAATCCGAATTTTTTACAAAGAATAATGTGTCCTTTGTTCAACATAAATATGTCTTGTCAAACCAAAACTATCATTAACATATAACACAAAGACATGCGACTACTATTTGCATATCATTTACATAATTCAAATATGATAATAAGAATACAAATACTAATGTAAACAATTTCATCCATAATATAAGCTTTTACTTTTTGTATAGAGGATTGTCAGCTGAACAGTTATTATGATGTTCACTATGGTATTCATTCCGTAAAACACATTCAAGTAAAATCTTATCACACTCACACAACTTTCTGTCATCGGTTTCAAGAGCATCTGAAATTAAAGACATCAAATGACAGTTGCACGGAGAAGTTTCAATTGACGGCTCTTAGAACGTATTGAAACTGAAAGACGAATTTTACGCATTTTTATATTTTTCGCAGAAACTATAATAGATAGAGAAAACTTTAAATAGCAAAATGATAGAAAAATATGATCTACAATTAAGTCGACATTGCCATAATAGTCAGTTGATCGACATTGTTTGACCCTTGAAAGATAATTTTTACCTATTTTTGCATTTTTTGCAAACTAAATCGAGAGAAATTGTAAATAGCAATGATATTTGTTGCTGAAGGGTAGTCGAAAAGGTTTGTTGTCATTGAACTTTAGATAAAAAAATTAATACGTCTTTGAAAATATTTGTCCCGAGAAAAAAACCATGCCCCCAAACACAAAAGATGACTTGCCGCTGCCTTAGCAGTAAAACATATCATTAATGCCTCTAAGTAATATTAACAAAGAAGCAAGTATAAATGATTGCAATGAAGGTAAATTGAAATATAAATATAAAAGATTTAAATGGCATATTTTTACCCGATGAGCAATTAAGGTTTTTCGGAGACTTTTGTTTGACATATTATGTCTGTGTTGCGGCAAAAAGGTAAAGAAGTAGTACATCACATCCATGCTTTATTGGAGATATGAAGATGGGTTACATTGTTTTACGATCGGACTTTTTTTAGAGAATACATTACCCATTTGAATCTCTAATAAACCATATCCGCCAAGAACTATTACGATTTTTACTTAGACAATTTTAAAGAAAACACATTAGCGTTTGATGCAGACATATTAGACACGTTAGAAGGAAAGGACATATCGATTTTGATAAATCGAAAATATTTTAGAAAACCAAACACTTCACAATTCAAAAGTGTACACATACATATATCCATATTTTAAAAAAAGGTATAGAATTGACTAGCGGACAACATTTACAGGAGTACCCTTTTTTATATCAAGCATCGTTCAAAATACAACTTAAGTGGCAAGTTAAATGTTCATGTAATATGCGAGTATACCAAAAGTTGTGTTCGAATTAGAACATTGTTTTCTTTACAAAGCAAAGAGAGCTCGTTATTTAAGCATTAGAAAATGGGGCTAACATTTTAGATGGTCGTTGGTATCTATTGAGTTCAGTTAGAATTTGTCTACATGACTCATATTTAGCCATGCGGTGTCGATGTTTTCCCTTTTTAATGGTGACCGCTAGATAGCTATTGTGTTTATTAATGCTGCCCTACTGACGTTTACTCTAAATCTCTATTTGGTTGTATTTCTCGAACTCTTATGCTTTCAAATCATTTCTCGGTTCTCAGATATGTAAATTGATGAATCTTGTTTCAGTGGTTTGGATTTTGTTGATTATATAGATGTATTTGTTATTGTCGTTTGTTTCGTTTTACAAATGATAAACTCACCATCACATTCTATAGTCTTCGTCTTCAACTGATAATTATACCAATTAACATAATAATGTTTTTGCTCCAATTTAACATAACAGTCATCATGGGCTTTACAACATCTTAAAAAAAATAAGGGAAAAGCTTCTTTTAGATCAAAGATTTCGGTGAAAACCATAGTCATACATAAGGGTAACATCATGGATGCATTGCCGAAATAAAAAGCATAGTTTAATATAAAGTTTTGGTTTTGTCGAATATGTTATGTGCATCTTAAACAGAAATTGAAAAATTTTCAAGTTATAATTGATTGCATATCTTTTGTGGTTCCTGTCAAAGTTATTCCTAAACATGAAAATAATAAACTCAAAAAGCTTGTCTTGATATATATATGCCACACAACTTGTGCTTTGCTAAAGTCCTTATGTTGACCTCGTGATTAACTTTTTGGCGGGTTTCTTGTGTTGGTGTCTCGTTAGCGTATAACTTGTACCTTATAGCTCCTGTAATTAATATTTAAAATTACTAAGTAAGAAAAAAACAGAAACCATGTAATAAATTTTAAAAAGGAAGCAATAACAACTGTTCATTTGATTTCTTTTAATCATGTGGGTAAACAAGGGAATATCATTTACCTATCTAAGTTATCCATAGGTTCTCCATGACCGCCTTTTCCACAATAACATCCATAATCCATCAATTCAGAACCCTGTACCCATCCACAATAATGTACTATTTCATAAGCTAACTGTGCTACATTTCGTTTCATAATGTTGTGTTCACCTAAATAAAATACAATTCTGTAATGAAATCATGCTAGAATCACAGCAACTATTTTTTCATCTAAACTGTTTGGTCCAAAAAAAAACCTACTTACTGTGTTTATGCCTAACCATAAAAAAAAAACGTTTTTACACAAAAACGTGGGAATGGTTGAGCGCAAGCAAATATTTTTGACCCCACCTCATTATGTGTGTGTCTGTTCCAAGTCTAGGGCATGTAGTAAGTGGTTGTCGTTGGTTTGTGTCTGTCAGATTTTTATTTCGTTTATTGTTTTGTCAAAAGTAATGCCGTTGTTGTTTTGTCATAGGTAAGGCCGTTATTGTTTTGTCATAGGTAATGCCGTTGTTGTTTTGTCATAGGTAATGCCGTTGTTGTTTTGTCATAGGTAATGCCGTTGTTGTTTTGTCATAGGTAATGCCGTTGTTGTTTTGTCATAGGTAATGCCGTTGTGGTTTTGTCATAGGTTAGGCCGTTGTTGTTTTGTCATAGGTAAGGCCGTTGTTGTTTTTTCTTGTTTGAGGTGTTGACCGTTTTGTCATGTCGGGCTTTTTATGGCTGACCATACGTCATGGGTTTTTTTTTCTCATTACTGAAAGTCATATGGTGACCTATGTTTGCTTACATCCTAGTCATTTTAACTCTGTTTTAATGAGACCATAAAATGGATAAGTGGTATCGCAAAATAATATCGCAGAGTACAGCAGACTGCATCAGACGTCAACAACCGACTCATCCCAAAACATCAGACATTCTAACAAAGACAAACAACAACGAATGACACACCGTCAAGACAGTCGGACTTGGTACTGGATCAAAATGTGGTGGAATTAACCAGATCTTCGTGAGAACAAAATCCCTGTGCCTATCTGGACTTTATGTAATAAAATTTAAACACACAATAAAAACCTGCTTTGTACAGCTATACCAACAGGATGATCACTAACACGAACAAGGAAATATAAAACGATAAATAATTTGGAAATGCTCGCTACTACAGGAAGCTATCTAAGGTAGCTACAGCAATTGATTGGATGCATGGGTATAAGTTATGACTTATTCAACACACATTAAACGGCCTTTATTCTTAAATATTTGGAAACTTTAAGCCTAAACATTTATACATGCTATGATCAAAATTACAATATTTTGTTATTCGAACCTCTGAGATAATGCATGACACTGTCATATTGTGAATTTAATGCTGCGTTCACATGTAATTCGAATTCGATTCGCAATAACTAATTCGAATTAGTTTAATTCGCATTCGAAACGTTTTACGTCCGAACGTAAATTTTAATACAATTGCAATGCGCGTCAAATTCGCTATACTGTCCGAATGACGTTAACTTTTAATTCGCATTATCAATTAAATAATTATAATTTGACTCGAATTACAATTAGACAGTGTCCACACCACCGTTTAATTCGAGTTAAAGCGAAGTAACTAATTCGCATTAACGAAAACGCATTTCTAATGCGAATTGGATAACGCGAAATAGCCAATTCGAATTCGAGTCGAATTAAAAAAAGAAGAATGTGTGAACGCGATTAGCGAATTCGATTCGCATTCGATTCGCATTCGATTCGAATTCAATTCGAATAAAATGTACGTGTGAACAAGGCACTAGTTAGGATGGAAATGTATGAAAATTAAGAAGAAATTGGTACTTTTTTTAATGATAAAAACAATCAATATTCCTAAATACATTTTTGTTTATCTGTACAATAATGCAACATTTCAGTTTATATCTCTTTGCAACGACTGCGTAACAAAGTTTCTGTGTGACCTTTTGACGTCTTTTTTGATATAATAAATGACTGCTAAAATTCGGAGAATAGATTAATGAATTTTTCATTATGACCACTGTAGCAGTCTTTTCTAAAATATTCAATGCGCGTACTTTTCCATTTACTTTAAGTGTGTTCATATGTGTATTTGCAACATCAATTGATAAACATGTAAAAAAATATGTTTTTTTTTTACAAATATTGGATATATATCAAATTTTAATTTAAAATCACGCTTACCTGTATCCGATGGGTATACCAAGAAAAGTACAACGACTAAAATTATTACTTGTGTTGTATTACAGTCCTGCGAAGAAAAAAACAATCATTTCCATTACATTGATAAACAGTATACTTTTAATTCCTTTGTCGTATGGAGATAAGACGATTTGTTAAATTATGCAAGTTATATTACTTGGTTTGCAAAATGCTTTACCAAGTTTCTCTCTAAATTTACAGCAAACACATCAGCAACCCAAACTAGTTTTCAGCGACACAATGAACCAGCACAATTCCCTCATCTCATGCAATAGTATGTCTTTATGACCTCTTTACCTTTCATACAAGTATTCGCTGTTCTACTCTTAAAGACAGTTGAAACAATTAGTCTAAATAAGTCTGCAGCCATTGTTATATTATGATTTCCAGAGCACCTTATATCACCCTCTGTTTTTGTTGGGGTTCGTGTTGCTCAGTATTTGGTTTTCCATGTTGTGTTTTGTATACCTTTTATCGTTTTAGGGGGGGGGGGGGGGGGGGCTAGGGTGAAATTTGAAGAAAAAAAATAGGCAGGACAGGAGTTTTGAGTAAAAAAAAGGCAGGATGAGACACTTGCAAAAAAAAAGTCAGGATGACATTTAAGGTAAAAAAAAGTCGGGATAAACTTAAAAAAAGGACCGAATAGAGTGAAAAAAATGGCAGGACAAAATTTTTCATCCTAGCCCCCACCCCCCCCCCCCCCCCCCCCAATAAAAATCAAATGGTAGCTTCCTTACGTTTTTTGCCATGGCATTATCAGTAGATTTTTTTTTCTTGACTGATTAGTTTGAATGTCTATTTGGTATCTTTTTTGTCTATTTTTGGCAATATTTGAAGTTCTAAATCGCCTCAAGTCTGGAAAGGTGTAACTGTTTATACAGAGACTATCAGAGATCTTTTAACAATATTACATTCCCTTAAAGACAAAACAAATAACATGTTTAATATGGTTCTTCACTTGGGAACACGTCCGTTTGGAATGGGGTCGCTTAATCTCGTTTTTTCTGTGAGAGAATGCCACACTCTCGGCAAGGGTTAAAACTTGAATTTGAAACAACTCCTTGAGCAGTCTGTAGTTGACCTGTTGCAGAGTAAAATGTCTGCCCCTATCCAATACTCACTCTTTTTTCATCGGCAGTATAAATTATGTGCCCTTCAATTCTGTTGACCACACATTGCAGAGCATACCTTTCATTTCTTTCTTTATTTTTATCTTTTTTTCAGTCGTTTATTTTTAAGAACTTAACTTTGAATTTGATGGCAAAAATCTCAATCAGAATTGTTTTTTTTTTCTTCTGCTTCATTTCTTTAAAGCTGGGAATCAGAATATTCTTAAGAGAATAACCATAACTCCTACCCTATTATAAAATATGATTTGATATACTTAAATAGAACTTCTAAAGAATTAAACAAGAAGACTTTCTACCATGCCCGAAAGTTTAAAGCATAAACCTTTAAGTTAACAAAAAAGAAAAGAAAAAAATATTAGCATTACTTATTTAAGTTTATAATTTTGTACACGTAGATAGGTCCGTTTCATTTACTAAAACTTATATAATGTATATCTTACCATTTTGATGTACCGCAAGTTACTTATTGCCAATAGCTGCTTACTTGTTTGCTACTGCTAGTTGCATGCATTCTAAAAATATTTGGAAAACCCTGAAATCACTACAAAAATAAACTTTTGCAATCAACATTTAAATTCTTCTTTTCTTAATTGTTCTTATTGTTTAAACTGGGACTACCAGTAATACGTTATTGAATTTTAAACTCATCATAGTTATAAATATATTTAATAGACATGTAAATGCATACATTGTAATTTGTGAACGACTTAAATTAAATCATAGCATTTAAAAAAAAAACACACAAGGATAGAAAAGGTTTTATTACCATAAAAAAAGAGACCATGTCATTCTTAGTCTTGGCTAAGATCCTTGTTCGACATGTGACTATACCTCAAAATCCGTTAAAATTTATAATATTTGGCTTACTTTCCAGACAAATAACATAGACAGTAAATAGGTACAGACTCATCAAAGATACCAGGCTAAAATTAAGAAATTTATGAAAGAGTAAATAGGCTTTGTCAAAGATTTTGGTCAAATTACTTTTTGTTTAAAAAATAATTTTCCGTTTTAACGATGTAAAATATATATGTAGGACTCAAATCTATGGTGGGTTCCAGATCCATGGCAGATCCCTGATCTATGGTAAATATGACGTCCTGCCATTCCAAATCTATGGCAGATTTTTTAGAATCCTAATATATGGCAAATTTTAGTTTCCTAATCTATGGCGGATTTCTAGTTTTCAAATCTATGGCAGATTTTCTTCAAATGGAAGAACAGTCAATATATGTCTGGCCAATGATTTCAAAGTTGCCTTCAACATGTGGAAGTATCCTAAGGTATAACGAAAAAGCCAGTATAAGAATAACGGATAAGAGGTACGACAACGGAAGCATATCCATAACCATTTGTGAAATAGACCTTCCATAATGATCAACCAAATCGTGATGACAACCATAAAATTTTCTTAGTAGGAAATGATATATACTCATACAGACTTAAGGAATGAAATGATGTGCTCCGGGAGAATAAGCATTTACTACTCTGTGCATGATACCTTGTTGACCCTGTCATTTAACCAAGTCCCTTAAAACACCCAAAAAGCAGTTTTTATTAAAAAGTTTGACTTTTAACCTAATATTTATTTGAGCGTTAAAAAACTGATGACGATTGAAGTCAAAGTCTTGTAATGGCCAATGGCTTGTCTCAAAGAAGTGACTTTCTTCAAAAATCCAAATTTCTCCAACAGTACAGTTATTCGACATAAATAAAGCTGAACATAATGTGAATAGTTATTAGGAATGTATGACAGATTTTTTTTTTTAGTTTTCAAATGTCAAGAGGGATAATTTGCTACAATATAACAATCGCTGTAATAAAGCTGATAAGTGCTAAAGATTATGTTTAAAGCAAATTTGAAGAGTACCATATGGATGAAAAGGCAACAAGAAACAGCCTTTGCATAAAAAAAATTATTAAAACAAAACATACCAAAGTCACAGTAAAAACTCGTAAAATCAAGAAACAATATAACACCAGGAACACAGACGAGGATAATAAAAGAAGGAGCGAAAACAAACACGAAACATAAACACAGAAAACACCAAAAACACAAAAAAACATATTCATTTGCACGAAACTGCCTTCACTAGCGATTTTGCTGCTACGAATGACTATGGGTTTGTTTGCTAGTATCATCCGAATCAAATGAGTAAATCTTCTCATTTGCAGTGATTTCTGTCACCGTAGACTAGAATTCTGAAATATAATCTAATTTATGGATTAGGTTCCTTGAAAACTGGCCTTTTCTTTTCCTTCTATAGAACAAAACCGTCAGCGTTAGCGGCAGCGTGAACATTATGCATGTTATAGTTTACTCCTCTTCCCGGAAAATTACGTAATATCAAAATCTGCCATAGATTAGGAGAAAACATAAAACTGCCATAGATTTATGATTTGTTTGGCGTTTGTGACGTCACATTTACCATAGATTAGGAATCTGCCATAGATATGGAACCCACCATAGATTTGAGTCCTACATATATAAAATATATTCGCCGTTTCAGAACCTAAAGCAGTGGGTAATTGCGTTGTTCGTACCCCAAAACGAAAATTACGTCACGTCATTGGTTGGATTGCCATTTTTTAAGACGATGTTAGCCAATCACTACGCTTGTGAACAGTATTACTCAGAATTCATTAGATTCTGAAACGACGATTTATAGTAACCGACTTCGTGTTTATCGTATGCATCATCCAAAGTAGTATTTTATGTGAAAAAATACAAATGATTGGCTAATACACCAAAAGTGATTATTTTAGATCATTTCAACGGAAATTTATGTATTAACAACTTTTTAGATTTTAAGAAAAATCTATGCATTGGTAATTGGGGTTTGGGATTTAAAACAAAATTTTGGAACGTTTTTCGACGATTGTATGTGCTTTCTATACAACTGTGCATCTATTTCGAAAGAATTGATACTGAACAGTTATATTTCAAAAAATAATAGAGATTCAGATAAATGCAGTATTTCTTCGACTTTGAACCAAAGCTGTATGCAAACATTTACCATGATATATGACATAGCCCATTTACTGTACCTTGACTTGAATACTTTAGTTCCGAGATAGTCCGATTTCATTAAACAAAAACACATCACGTGATACATGTAACGTTCGATGCAATGCTTGGATCAATACAGACATTCTAGAGTAGTACGATAGGTTTTAATTGGGCTGAAAAGGGGAGGGGGTCAAAATAGATGTGTGTGTTCTAATATTTTAAATTGAAATATATTAAATCAATTCCTTTGCTTAGTTTGCCTATGTGAAAACTAGACAGATGAATAGACAAATGCCAAGTTATACGACTTAATTGTTCAACCTCCACTTTGATACAACAACTATCCCGGACCTCTTGAATAAGCAGTGTGAATATTTTAAAATCTGTATTTTCGACGTATTTTCGATGATTGTTTGGAAATATTGAATATCTCTTTCTTAATAATCCGTTTTACCTGGTTTGAACGTAAGTTCATCGGCACCAATTGTAAACTTTGAGGGAAATAAATATGATGTGGGAAATTTTGCAGTATACATCCATTGCAGTAACAACGCTGTCAACACAGATACCATTACAGTTGTTTTGTATCTTACCTTTAGATCAAACGGAAGAAATCTTCTTACCACGAGAAAGAAGATGTAGAAGATTTTGTGTCGTCGGGTTGCTGTCTCTTTTAGGGAAACACCACATCTCCTTTTATCAATATTTAACAATTGAATGCGTCGATAGAAGTAAAAAAAGTTTCTGGGAAAAACTGTTTCCGCGATAATAAACATTCAATTTCCCGTTTTATTTCTAGTTGTATTTACGATGACGTCTTGATAAAGGAATCTAATGAAAGGACTTTTAAAAAATCTGGAAAAAAATCATTGCGCAAAATTGTCCTTCGGATTTATAACAAAAGTATTGTTTTTTTTTTTAATTTTTAATGAAAAGAGAAGGCTCCTTCATTGTAAAAATTCGAATTGTTACCCTTTGCCACGATATTTACAATTTGGCGGGAAACGTCGTTAAACATTTCCGAAAGAAAGAAGTGATTTGCCCGCAAAATATGAGGCACAAAACAAGGAACAATTTTTGTCTCTCTCTAAAATCAGTACGGTATCATATATCAGTATGTATTTATTTTAAAATATACAATGAAAGCCAACTCATATAAAACATAAGAACAATGACAATAAATGAAGCTTGTAAAACTTTTCAATAAATGTCGCCATCTTTTGTATGGCATGTAATACGAAAACTCGATCAAGTTTTGAAATGAAAAAAGTGCTGACCTGTTACTTAATTTTTTCCTGATGCATATTATCAGAGCTTTTAAATTAAATCAATAAGACTCTTTTATTGCAATTTATATAACTTTTATAAAATCTTAACGTTGTAAGAAAATTTAAATGATTTTTCAAAGAATTCATCTCGATCTCCAACATATATCATAATCACAAAAATGGCATTTCAATGAGAAACTGTATCAACTCCCTTTAATGAATTACAATTATTATTTTTTTTATATATATAACCATAGGATATCATTTTCTGCGTGAGGGGAAAAGGGTGGGGCGGTATAGGAAAATACTATTGAATTTTCGTGCATTTTCAGTTCCCAAATTTATTAATTTCCGATTTCAGTATAGTAAATGATTTCTTAAACTTCAGTTTATTTTTTAGGACACAGTTATATCAGAGTTTCGTATAAATGATAGCAAACGTTTTTTATGAATATATAAATACAATATTAAAGTGTATTCTGTCCTAATTTTCAAGGCTTTGGGTTGACCTGGCCAGGGGATCAACTTATGACCGTCTGGATTTGAGGCGGCTAGCTAACAAGATGCGATATAAGATAAACTTATTTAAGCTTGGTATTCTCTGACTGTTTATGCCGTATTTACACTAAATCCAGTGGATGTTGGATGTGAACTGATTTATATTTTAGTCTTTGATACCTATTTTCTTTCATTAGTTGTTATTGACTTTGAACTAGCTGTCAGTAACTGCGAGTACTCTCAGATCTGTACTTAGTGTCCTTTTTGCTGTTAGGGATTAGGGAGGATAAATACCCTGCCACGTCCGATCTGTGTTTATGCTTGATGTTTTTTCTGATTTGTATCGATCTGATGAGTTAAGCCTTTTTCAACTGATTTTTATAGTTTGTTCTTATGTTGTGCTGTTACACCACTGTCCCAGGTTAGGGAACATGTTTAACCCCGCCACATTCTTTGTGTGGCTGTCCCAAAAATGTAGTTCAGTGGTTGACGTTGGTTCATGTCTGTCATATTTGTTTTTCGCAATTTGTTTTGTTATAAATTATGCCGTTAGTTTTCTCAATTGAATTGTCTCATATTTTTCATGTCGGGGCTTTTTATAGCAGACTATACGGTATGGGTTTTTCTCATTGTTGAAGGCCGTACGGTTGCCTATAATTGCTTACATTCACTTTATTTGAACTTTGATGGATAGTTGTCTCATTGGCAATCATACCTCATCTCCTTATTTTCATAT